TTTTTTTTTAATTTGTCCTAATTAGTTATACATGACAGCAGAATGCATTTCAATTCATTGTACACAAATGGAGCACAACTTTTCTTTTCTCTGGTTGTACACGATGTAGAGTTGCACCCTATATACAGTCATGCATGTACCTAGGGTAATGATGTTCATCTCATTCTAACATCTTTCCTGCCCCTGTGCCCCCTCCTCTTTTCTCCCTCCCCTTTGCTCAATCAAAGTTCCTCCATTCTTCCCACACCCACCCCAATTTGGATCAGCATCCACTTATCAGAGAGAACATTTAGCCTTTGGTTTTTTGGGTTTGACTTACTTCACTTAGCATAATATTCTCCAACTCCATCCATTTATCTGCAAATGCCATAATTTTATTCTCTTGTAATGCTGAGAGAGATTCCATTTTGTATATGTACCACAGTTTCTTTATCCATTCATCTACTGAAGGGCATCTAGGTTGGTTCTACAGTTTAGCTATTATGAATTAAGATGCTATGAACATTGATGTGGCTGTTATTGACACTCTTTGGACACATAAGATGCTTAAAGCAGTTTGGTTTACTCTTAAATCATGCATTATGTTTGAACTGCATGCTTTTTATTTTGAAGATTTTTTTTAAGTGAAAGGATTTGAATAGTGGACAGAGGTGTTCTTAGAACAGGAAAAAATCCTAATTTATCTCACTCTGCTTCTGTAGTTGTCAAGTAAGATGATTGACTTCACTAGAAAAATTCAAGTTAGCAAATATTTTATATAAGAAAGTGAAATGTAAACTTGCTTCAACTATTCATACATGTGTGAGTAAAATATTCCCATGTGTTTCAGATTTCCGGTTTCCATGGTTTTTAATTATTATCTTTGGAATATTTGGGCTAACAGTGATGCTATTTGTAGTCATATTTTCTAAACAGCAAAGGTAGGTGTGATACAGTATTCTCTGGTATGTTTTTGCAAGTTGTTCAGATTTCCATGCATTTCTGTGTTTTATTTGATATTTTCTCTTGCATATTGAGTATAAATTTTATGTAACACAGTATACCTTTATGTCCAGTTATATGTTTACTATTTCTAAAAACTCAATTTGTTGGGTTCATCTTTGAGAAAATACAGGTTTAGACTCTATCTATGAAGTTGTGTAGGACATTAAGAGCTTAGACTAATGATACCACACACTATGTAATAGGCACCTCTTCCCCTCAGTGCTTAAAGATTGACCCATTCACTGCAGGACTCCAGAGCATCATCACGGAGCCTTTGGCTGAGGCTGTCACAGTCCTCAGTATAGGAAAACTGAAATGGCAAACTAAAGCCACCTAGACAATGTAATCTAATAAAAGCATCCTTAAGACTTCATATGATGTGATTTTAAGTAAATCTGGGTCTCGTTTAAATGATTTGGATAGTTATAACTTTGTATTTCACCTGCATTTGCAAATACAACTGAAATGCTAAGTTTGAAGCAATTCTATTTTGCATTTTCTGGGATCCCAAAGATTTGGTTCCAGTGTCTCAGTGACTGCTCTTTGATCCTGTTTGACTCCCTTAAACTTTCTGGGCTTCCACAGTGTCATAGGTAATATGAGTGCTGGTTTATATGCTCTTTAAATTTGCCTTGAGCCCTGAGATGTTATCATTCTGTTTTTCTTCCTGAAATATAAATAAATAAATAAATAAAAATTTAAAAAATTCAGTCCACACTATAGGAAATTATTTTGTACAAAATGTAGAAAAAACAATGGCTATAGATTGCTAGTTTCTTCCATTTAAGGAATTTTAAAAGCCTCATGGGTTAATATGAGGAAAATAAATACATTTTTTAGAATTTTAAGTAATATATGCATTTAAGTAATGCTAAAAACAAGAATCAAATTATTCTGTAAGTTTCTTGGTCTGTACAATTGGTGGGATAATTTATATGTGACTGTCATAAATTATATGTTTGCAAAGTAATTTGTTCTTAACACTGGCAGTCCATTTCAAAACATTGTGAAGGCCAAGAAAATTTGTTATATTGTTAGTTATATCAGCTACAATATTTGGAACAATAAAATCATCCCTCACAACAAATAGGATTTCAAAGAAATTATATTAACTTTTGACTAAAAAAAAGCATTTTCTGTGAATAATGAAGAATTAATCTATGACACTTGTTCAAAATCACCAAATTGTAAAATAGATATGGAGTCTTTATTGTACTACCAATTTCCTATCTAAATTGAATTCTTTACATAAAAAAATCTATTTTTTCTTTTCCATTGAAACATTTATCATTTTCTAAATTTACATGTTCTAATGCAAGTAGGAAATTTGTACAAAATAGTTGTCAGCAGATATGGAAATAACACGTATTCCCAACAATTAATAAGATATCTTGCTCCACAGAATGAGGTGCTGAAGTCAGTCTTTCCGAGAACTCCAAGCTATCGAGTTTTTCAGGTCCCACATGTCTTTAAAGATTTGTGTATCCTAATTCATTTTTGAAGCTTCTTTAATCCAGAAAATTGTCGATTCTACAAAAAAAATTATAATGTGATTCATACTTGAATAAATGATAGCACCCTCACAAACATAGTTTAAAGCCAGATTATCTTTATTCCTTACTAGCTTCTACCATGTGACCCATCCAGCCTTGAAGCTATTATTAATTAAAGGAATCAATAATTAAATCAGCATAAAACAGAAGTAGGAAAGTGAAAGCCAAGTTCAAGCTGCAGATCCACGATTGATTGATTGATTGATTGATTGATTTTGAGTAGGATTCTACTACAAAGCAGATACAAGATAGAGAATTTTCACACCAAAAAAATCCAGATTTCTAGATTGTCTTTAAAACTTGACTGATGTAGTGGAACTAACCTGATCTTTCTACATGGCACATACATGGAAGAAGAGAGCCAGCTGTGCCCTTTGGGAAGGACATACACTCTCCAGTTTGCCACAAAGCATCTTTTCTTCTCACAGCATTGTGACTGGCCTGCTTCATTTAATGACATGACCAACTTGGGCCCTTGAGATTTCAGGGCCAGCCACTGTGTCAGAAAGTAGCTACAACCACAGAATACAACTAACACAAGTAGAAACACATCATGCTCTTCATAAAGGAGAGGCTCACCTCACAAAATCAACATTAGCCATTTGGGATTCTTTGCTTCCTGTAATTAGGGATATGTTGCATTTTTTAATGTTTGTAAAAATTTGAAATGTGCATTTAGAAATGCCAAATTTAATAATGCAGCAGTGTGACAGAAGGCAAAAGAGCCTCAGTTTGGAGTCAGGTAACTTGGGTTTGAACCTCAGTCATGCCTAGTATTAGTGCATGATTTGAGACTGTTCCTTAATTTTTCAAATCTTTGTGTGAATACTATCATTGACCTCCCTGATAGTTATAAAGTTTAAATAAAATGTTTAGTTCATGATCAAACATTTGTTTTAAAGAGAATTAGTAAAATTTTAGGCTTCAGGTGCCATATGTCTTTGTCACAACAACTCATTTCCACTTCTGTAGCATGACAACAGCCAGAGACAATATGTAACTGAATGAATGTGGCTGTGTTCTACAAAATCAAGTGGTAGTTCAAATTTGGCCCAAAGTCTATAATTTGTACTAAACCCTAATGCAAAGTATATCTCACACTGTCTAGTTTATCAGAGAAGCTCAAAATGAGAGAAATTATTATTAGTAATTTATGTTATTCATTTCTATATCTGCTATTCATCAGTAATAATTTGTTTTAACATTTACTTCACTGAGTAAGCATAGTGGAGAAATCACAAAGCAACTTATACAGTGGAATTTGGTTTATTCTTTAGATTAGATAAAATGGTAGGTGGAAATATTGAAAGGAAGTGTTCCTTATTGGATAGACTGCATAGTCCATTCACACTCAGTGGACTAGCAACTAACTGATATTCAAACTCCAGGTTACTGTCCCTGCCTAACAATGGCATTTCTCACTACATAGGAGGTGTTTTTGTTTTGTTTTGTTTTGTTTTGTTTTGTTTTGTTTTGAACTATAAAACAAGTTGGTTGAAATGAATAATCCCTGAGCTTCTTTCCAGAGCTACAATGTTGGTTTTAAAATTCAAGCTCTAGTTACACCGTCAACAAAATACATGGTTTGTTCCAATTTATTTGGCAAATGCTTGTTGAGCACTTCCATGTGCCAGGAATTGTGCTAAGTGCTAGGGATTCAGCAAGGCACAAGACAGGCAAGACAGACATGGAAATGAATCAGAGTCAAAAATAATTTAAATATTTGGAACAGAAGATATAAGTACAATTACAGTATTATGTATGAAAGTCCATCAAAACAGAAGAAAGAGCAGTGGGGGAGATGAAGGGGATTGAAGGGGAGAAAGGAGGGAATGGGATAAGGGAAGAACAATTGAATGAATCTGACCGAGCTTTTGTTAGGTAAATACATGAATATACCAAAGTGAATCTCAACATCAAGTACCTCCACAAGACACTAATTAAAACAAAACAAAACTATAAGTAAATTGCAGAACAACCAGTAGAGTAGAGGGAGAGAGGAGAAGGGGAAGGGATAAGTGCTGGGGACTGAATTAGAGCAAATTATATTCCATGCTTTTGTGATTATGTCAAAATGAATCCGAATGTTATATATAACTAAAAAGAATCAAATAATCAAAGTCCAAACTGTAAAAAAAAAAAAAAAAAAATCCATTCTCAAAAGTGGGAGCTAGTTCATATTTAGCCTACTCTATCTGAAATGGCCCTTGTAATAACTGTCTGGTTAAAAATCATCTTAGATGACTTTATGATTAATGTCAACTGTGTGGTGTTACCTTGTCTCGCATCACCCTTTTTCAAGGGCACAAATAATGTTGGCTGGCTCTACATAGATTGGTTCTTTTTCCTTTATTCATTTTTTTTTCTGCAAATTACTGAGGAGATGTACAATAAAATTGCTTTCCTTGTAACAGACTAACAGACATGGACATTGGCTTCAGGTAGAATTAAATTTCTCTCTCCCAAATGCTAAAGTGGGATGGCCATAAAAAGCATTAAGAAAAAAATGAAATTATAGAAAAACCACATTTTATTTGAATAGACTTCAGAAGAGGACTTTTTTGTTATTATTGTTTTTCTTTCTTACACTTTTTGAAGTTTTTCTTTATCATTTACTGCTTTACATTTTTCTTCCCTTTCTCAGCTTCCACTTATATAGAATATCAAAATTCTTGAAATAAGTAATATTCTGCCAATATTTTATTTGTTTTGAAATAAGAGAAATGTGTAACTTTTAAGATCTGTCAAATGAAAATTCTGTTTGTTTTCAAGGATTAAGATGCTGATTTTGCCCCCAGTACCAGTTCCAAAGATTAAAGGAATTGATCCAGACCTCCTCAAGGTAATTAATAAATCCATCTAAACTATAGATTGTGACTGCACTAACTAATACCTGAAGAACATTGCCACATGTTGAGAGCTTTTTGCAAGCTGTGTGTATTGGATTTAAATGATTTCGTCATTATGAGTTTCTTTTCATTAATCTTCATTTTCTTTCTGCTTCATAGGAAGGAAAATTAGAGGAGGTGAACACAATCTTAGCCATTCATGATAACTATAAACCTGAATTCTACAATGATGACTCTTGGGTTGAATTTATTGAACTAGATATTGATGATCCTGATGAAAAGACTGAAGGATCAGACACAGACAGACTTCTAAGCAACGACCATCAGAAATCCCTAAATGTCCTTGGGGCCAAGGACGACGACTCGGGCCGAACCAGTTGTTATGAACCCGACATTCTGGAGACTGATTTCAATGCCAATGACTTAGGTGATGGTACCTCAGAGGTGGCTCAGCCACAAAGGTTAAAAGGGGAAGCCGATCTCTTGTGCCTTGACCATAAGAATCAAAATGAGTCACCTTATCATGATGCTTCCCCTGCCATTCAACAACCCAGCATCATCCTGGCAGAGGAAGAAGACAAACCACAACCACTTCTCATTGGTGAAACTGAGTCAACTCACCAAGTTGCCCCTACTCAGATAAGCAATCCGAATTCACTGGCAAACATTGACTTTTATGCCCAGGTGAGCGACATTACACCAGCAGGGAGTGTGGTCCTTTCCCCGGGCCAAAAGAATAAGGCTGGGATGGCCCAGTGCGACACGCATCTAGAAATGGCCTCACTCTGCCAAGCGAACTTCATCATGGACAATGCCTACTTCTGTGAGGCAGATGCCAAAAAGTGCATTGCTGTGGCCCCTCATGTGGAGGTCGAGTCACATGCAGAGCCAAGCTTTAACCAGGAGGATATTTACATCACCACAGAAAGCCTTACCACTACTGCTGGGAGGTCTGGGACAGCAGAACATGCCCCAGGTTCTGAGTTGCCCGTCCCAGACTATACCTCTATTCATCTAGTGCAGTCTCCACAGGGCCTTGTCCTCAATGCGACTGCCTTGCCCTTGCGGGACAAAGAGTTTCTCTCATCGTGTGGCTACGTCAGCACTGACCACCTGAACAAAATCATGCCGTAGCCTTACTTTGATTTCCCAAGAATAACATACTGAATCGCCAAGAATTGGCTGGGGCATGAATGCTGAAACCAAAACAATCTTTAAACATTTGGGGGGAGACTGTGAGGGTGGGTATGGATTCAAATGCCTTTTCCTGAAATGTGGAAATGTTATTAAAAGGAAAATAACAAGAACATTTAATCAGAGAGATATTCCCGTTGTGAATTGTAAATATTTTAAAGAATTGTCTCAAAAGACTCTTCAATAGCAGTGATTGTCTTATTATTGTGGGTGTTAATTTTGTGATACTAAGCATCGGATGGCTACGTTTTTAATGTATAGTAAATTGTGCTTTTTGAAAAAGCAAAAACAATCAGGTGGCTTTTGCAGTTCAGGAAATCAAATGCAAATCATAGCACAGGCTAATTTTTTTTTTCTTTTTTTAATAATTGGGAAGTAAAAATCTAGGCAAGAAAGCAAAAGTAGTTTGGATATGTAAAACATTTATTTTGACATAAAATTGATAAAGATATTTTTAATAATTTAAACTTCAAGCATGGCTATTTTATAATACACTACACACTGTGTACTGTAGTTCACAATGACCCCATCTAAGGAATGTAGTAACTACAGTCTAAAGCTGGTTTAATGCTTCAGTCAATACACCTGAAGAAAAACAGACAAGCTAGTTTTTTACAAGTCCCTTTTTTATACCTCCCCAAAGTTCTTAAGTAATTCTAAGATCTCTAATAACCTGCATTATTGGAATATACTCATTTTAACTGAATTTTTAAACAGATATTTTTAAGTTAGAAAACTTTTAAATGTTTACATGGATCAATGCACCATAAACCAAAAAACAGGAAGGAGGAAAAATACAAAAACAAACAAACAAACAAACAAAAAACCCTTCTTTACCAAATTTCAGTGCAAGCCAGAGAGCTAATGCTAAGACAAGTAGAAGTTACAGCTGGCTCCCCTGGTCCAGGCTGCTGACGTGCAGAAGTGCACGTGGTATGAATTTTTTTAGCACACAGATCATGAGAAATAAGCTCCAAAACCTGCAATGGTATCTTTTCAAACACAGCTTGGTTTCATTTCATAGTTACCTAAAAGAAGAATAAAGTATAAGCAGCATTTTGTAAGTAGAAGCAGATCAAATGAAGTTAACTGAACAATGGAACAGAAAGCTTAAGAAATAGGTTTTTGTTCCATAGTCTATAGCTGAGGACACATTCATTATTTGTGGTAACAAGGGACAGATGGTAAGCAAGCCAAAAGAGAACTCAAAATTAATCAAACCAATAGAAGAAGCTTTCTCACCAAGCCTAATAGGATTTACTTAAAACTGTAAAATAAGTTTCATCATTTGTTATTTCCCCTTTGAGAGGATTGGCCTCCAACCAGGTAGTCAGAAGAAAATGAAGGAGCCTAAGTAATTTATCAATTATTTTCCAATTCTTTAACAACCTAAACATTATCCTTTGGAATAGCTCCCCTAAAGGTTTATGAAAGAGAAGAATCTCATCTCACTGAATATGTCTCACTTTACGTATTTTTTTAAAAACACTTTAAACTTTAAAATTAGTTCTACTTGCCATTTAGCTCAAGACCTTTTGGGGAAGCAAGCTTAATGGCTGGCAGTTCCCTCTTTCTTACGGAAAAGTGAAAAATCTAGAATTGGGTGTTTAAAGTTCAACATGTTACTTCGTGATAGATGTTTAATAGATTCTCTGCTACCTTGCTGCTATGGTTTTCTCTAAAAGCTACAAAATTTAGTTTCATATAAAACATCATCAATGTAGAGCCTAATTCAACTTAAAGCTGTGTTTTTGGAAGAATTATATTACTATTTCACAATAGGCTGACCACATTTCTATAGCCAAAAATAGCTAAATACCTCAATCAGTCTCAGAATGTCATTTTGGTACTTTGCTGGCCACACAAGCCATTATTCACTAGTATGACTAGTTGTGTCCTGCAGTCTATATTTAACTTTCTTTATGTCTGTGGATTTGTTCCTTCAAAGTTTAATAAATTTATTTTCTTGGATTCCTGAATGTGTGCTTCTATTGTCAAACCTCAACATGAAAAGATCTTAAGACATGAAAGCATCTTAGACTATATTCTGTGAGTTTTCTCGCTGTAAGGGAAGCTTAGCACATTTAGTTCAAACATTGTAATGCAGTACAGTTTTTTGTTATGTTCTAAATAGAAGCTGAGGAGGCAGCTCCATATCTCTATTTTTTGAGGACACAAGGGTTCCCACTAGGAAATATGCTGCTGGCCTGTTTGAACTATGCCTTCTTTGGGCTGTACCTCTCATGGGCTATGCCTTGCACACATTATAGAAGTCAAATGGTGCATCCAAGTTGATGTGGGGTGCATGTGGGGTGGGGTGCATGTGGGGTGGGGAAGAGTGTTGCTTGGGCATTGTCTTCAAACTACATTCCTAGGTTGAGCATGTGACCTGGAAAGAGGAAAATCAGCTCTTCCTCTACTATTCACACACTGACACAAGTCAATTTGTCAGACTGGCTACTTGTCATCATGGGGAGCAGATAATTCTTTCCCATAGCCTCCCAGACCTGGAATAGAGGCCAGTTGGGTAGGTTGTGTAGGAACTTGAGAGGGCAGGAAAGCCAGGAAGCATAGATTATGCTACAGAAGATTCCAACTGTTTATTTTAGCAAGTTGAGTGCAAACTGTCACAACTTTTCATATTTGAGGGTTAAATTCACTACAGAAAATAATTTTTCCACCTACTGCCTTCTGCCCTTTGAGAGGCCATTACTTCAAAGAATTGTGGAGTAAAACCACTGGGCTTTTTTATTTGGAAATATGTTTCAGAAATTTGTGGCCTTTATCTCACTAGAATATTGGAACTTATACTACAACCTTTACAGAACAAAACAAATAAAAGGTTATCATTATAAGCACCAGACATCTATTTCTTACATATGTTATACAAGACCCAGCCTTCTATGAACAGAGAGCACAATCCTTTCTATTTCAGAAAATTAATGGTATGTTGAAGATGGCTACACATGTGTTTATGTATTTAAACTTCTCAGTTCTACTAAGATACACCACACCAAAATGTATTCAAGTGTTATAAGATTTACATATTTTTACACTCAAAAAATCTTTTTATATGCTTTTTCAAGGTAAGATAGCAGAAAAACTGGAAGATTCTTAAATCTGAATTCTTTACTTTAGAATCCAATATCTCACATAATTTACTCCATAACTACTTGAATATTTAAGAGCTGGATGTAAAGGGAATTTGACCTTTGACTAACATTTGAGCTCTGTTCCTTGGAATTTGACCTTTGACTAACATTTGAGCTCTGTTCCTTGGAAATCTAATAAGCATATTATATCAACTATGTTACACACGCAACATTGACCATGGTTAAAATGATCTCTGGTAAATTATATCTGGCTGGATAGAAAACATAAATACATGGGATAAACCATACTTCAAACCTGGGCATGGTGACTCTTAGAACTGAGCATGTGCCCTTCAGGAGCACCAGGAGTTATGCCTATGGAGTTGTAACAAAAGCTACTGGTGCCACTGAGGCATAGAGCTTCTGTGCCTGGTAGACTCCATTAGCTTCCCAGTATGGGACGTCTTCCCTTACACCTGAGCTTCCACTTGGTAAAGGAGGAAAGATCATGGCTGCTGGACAGCTATGTAAACAGTTTTTGGACTGCTACATGGACAGTTGCCATGACTATGATTCTTAAGCAGGAAGTCCATTGGTACCTGCCCTACATCCTTCCTATCCTACATTTCAGAGTAGACTGGGACCAAGTGGGATCTGTGGCCATCTAGTGGATGTTGGGTTGAGCCTACCTTGGAAAGATCCCCTTACAGACTAGTAAGAGAAACTTGCTATTCATTCCTTGAACAAAGTTTATGCTTTCCCATCCCTGAATTCTTATTCAGGACTCTTCCCCCACCTGAAAAGCTCCCACGTACCAATCCTGCCTCCCCAAATTATTCTCATGCTTCGTGACCTGCTCCAATGGCTTCTTCAAAAAACATCTGATTCTTTCCAGCCTGAAGATCATTTCTTCTTCAAAACCACTTTTAATGCCTGAAGCCTGAAGATCATTTCTTCTTCAAAACCACTTTTAATGGCGCTTATCACACTCTGTTTATTATTCATCTAACAATCTCACAGGATAGGATCTACCAATATGTATTCTTGGGAATACCTGATCCCTAAAATGCTCTTAAATGGATGATACTGTGCTCAATAAGTTTGGGGAAATCCTCAAATTTCATTACCTTCATTTTGATATTTTAACATTTCTAAAGTTTAAAAAATACACTCATTTTTCTGAATTGTTTTTAACAATAAAAAAATACAGGCATACTTTGAAGAAACCACAGGTTTTGTTCCAGACCACTGCAATAAACAGAGTCACAATGAGGTTTTAGTTTCCCAGTGCATACTCACGTTATTTACACTAGTAATACTGTGGTCTGTTAAGTGTACAATGCCTTTACACCTGAAAACAATGTACACATCTAAATACTAATGGTCATCTGAGCCTTCAGAGGTTCACGATCTTTTGGTTGGTGGAGGGTGTTACCTTGATGATGATGGCTACTGACTGATCAGAGTGGTTTATCTGAAAGTTGGGATAAGTAACAATTTCTTTAAGTAAGACAACAGTGAAGTTTGTCACAATGACGGACTCTTTCCTTCACAAAGCATTGCTCTGTAAGACTCATTGCTGTTGGATAGCATTTTACCCAAGCAGAACTTCTTCCAAAATTAGTCAATCCGCTTAAATCCTGCATTTGCTTTATCAACTGAGTTTATGTATATTCTAACTCCTTTGCTGACATTTAAACAATATTCACAGCATCTTCACCAGAAGTAGATGCCATTGAAAGAAAGCACTTTCTTTGCTTGTCCATAAGCAAATCCTCAACCATGTAAGTTTCATCATGAGATTATAGTCATTCGGTCACATCTTCAGGCTCTGCTCCTAATTCTGTTTTCCTGCTATTTCCAGCACCTCTGTAGTGACTTCTTCCACTAATATCTTTAACCCCTTCCAGACTCCTATTAATGTTAGTTAATAACCACAAATGTTGTTGATATCCTCTAGAATGGTAAATCCTTTCCAGAAGGAATTCAGTATATTTTATCAAGATCCTCAAGAGGAATCACTATCTGTGGCAGCTATAGACTTATGAAATATATTTCTTAACTTGTAAGATTTGAAATTTGAATTACTACTTTATCCATGAGTTACAGAATGGATGTTGTATTAGCAGGCAAAAAAATTTAAATCTCATTGTACATCTCCATCAGAACTCTTGGGTGACCAGATGCATTGCCAATCAGCAATAATATTTTAAAAGGAATCTTTTTGTCTGAACATCAGTTCCCTACAGTGGGCTTAAAATATTCAATAAGTCACATTGTAAACAGATGTGCTGCTAACATTCAGGCTTTGTTGTGCTATTTAAAGAGCATAGACTGAGGAGATTTAGTATAGTTCTACAGGGCCCCTGGGCCTTCAGAATGGCAAATGATCATCAGTGCCAACACCTTGGTCAATGACTTTGCAGGAAACTTGCTGCTGCCTCTCCATCAGTATCTGCTGCTTCCCTGGTACTTTTTTATTATGGAGTTGGCCTCTTAAGCCTCATGAATGACATCTGCCGACTGCAAACTTCTCTTCTGCAGCTTCCTCACCCCTCTTAGCCTTCATATCATTGAAGATAATTAGGCCCTCACTCTAAATTGGGCTTTGGCTTAAGGGAATGTTATGGCTGGTTTGATCTTCCACCGACCCACACCGCTTATCAGCAATAGGCTGTTTCACTTTCTTATTTGTGTGTTCCCTGGATCAGTACTTTTAATTTCCTTCAAGAACTTTTCCTTCGCATTTACAACTTGGCTCTTGGGTGCAAAAGGGAAAGATTTCAGCTCATCTTGGCTTTCTACATGCCTTCTTCACAGAGCTTAATCATTTCTGGTATTGGTTTAAAGTGAGAGACATGCCACTCTTCCTTTCACTTGAATTTGAGAGGCCATTATAGGGTTATTAATTGGCCTAATTTAAATTGTTTATCTCAGGGAAAAGGTAAACCTGGCGGGAGGGAGAGAGATGGTAAATGACCAGCCAGAATAACAGTAAGAACACTCACCACAATTATTAAGTTTGCAGTCATATGGGTGTGGTTTGTGGCACCCCAAGACAATTACAATAGATCAACGACCGCAGATCACCACAGCAGATATAACAATGATAAAAAGGTTAAAAATTATGACAATTACCAAAAAATGTGACTTTGGGATGTGAAGTATTGGAAAAATAGCACTCATAGACATGATTCTTGCTGGTTGCTACAAACCTTTAATTTAAAACACACATACRTATACACACATGAGAAAAAAACATAAAATGAGTTATGTCTGTAATGGTGATAAAATATCCATATCTAATATCTAATAACACTTAGGAAAGCTGCTCTGAGAATAACAGCATGCCTTGCACAAAATAAAATTATAAATTTCAGGTAAACATGGATTTGAATGAAGCATTTTTCTGTAATGCCATTAAACTCTTACTCTATCAATAAGCGCCCCCCACCCCCCCACACACACACACAATGAAAGGCAAAGCCACTGTGTAATTAAAATAACCACAGATTCTTCTCAACTCAGGTGTGTTACTTTTTTCATCTATGAAATGACATTATTCTAAGGAGGGCTTCTCTGTGACAGTGACTTCTTATCTGCTTGCCAAAATGGACTTTGAATTTCCTGCCTTTTCAGCACAAAGACTGTGGGAGAGTAATTAGGACATGGAATTTGCCAACACTACAGAACACACAGCTTTCTCCAAAATCTGAGGACTACAACACCAAGAAATGCTTATATCACTCTTAATGAAGAGGAACGTATTTTGCTATAAAACGACAGGATAATACCTGTTATTACTTGAACCAAAATAATTCACTCCTTACTGCTGACTGCTAAGTTAGAAATAAATTCACCACATAGAACTTCAAATATAA